CAATCATAAACATTTGGGGTGAAATTTCGTGTCATAGGCACTTTAAGATTAACTTTCTATGTGCATTCATCAACTGTAAATATCTTTGGGCATATTATTCAATTTATAGGATACAATTATACATAGCATCCGACTGTATGTCTGATGAAAAAAAAGAAAGGCTATGTCAATACTGTGCAGTATTGCTTATAAAATGTACCGGATTGGAACCATTTCTTATGTTAATAAGGAAATCATATAGGAAATATCATAGCACTGAGACTGCTGTATTAAAGGTGCATAATGACATCCTTATGAACATGAACCAACAACAGGTCACATTTCTAGTCATGTTGGACCTAAGTGCAGCTTTTGACACGGTAAATCACAAAATATTAATAAAACATCTACAATCCAAAATGGTATTCCTTTAGAATGGTTTACGTCATATTTGTTAGATCGTTCATACCATGTGACAGTTAATGGTAAATGTTCACAGCGGTTTCATTTTAACTGTGGTGTACCTCAAGGTTCATGCCTCGGCCCAATGCTGTTCAACATCTATACGAGTTGCTTGTGATGTTACTCTGAGTGTATATCCACACCGGGCAGGCTTGAAAAATATGCCTGGCCACGGTGGGAATCAAACCTACAACCTTTGGAATACTAGCCCAATGCTCTGCCAACCGAGCTACGCGATCAGGTCGGTTCGAGTATGTGATATTTCGGAACTGAGTCTAGTTCCTTCGATATCAATGTAATCTAATAATCATGATATTTGCTGTGTTCGTGTAATGTACTCAGGTGAATAAGATGCTTGTGATGTTACTCTGAGTGTATATCCACACATTACACCAACACAGCAAATATCATGATTGTTAGATTACATTGATATCGAAGGAACTAGACTCAGTTCTGAAATATCACATACTCGAACCGACCTGACCGTGTAGCTCGCTTGGCAGAGCATTGGGCTAGTATTTCAAAGGTCGTAGGTCTGATTCCCATTCGTGGCCAGGCATATGTTTCAAGCCTGCCCGGTGTGGATATACACTCAGAGTAACATCACAAGCATCTTATTCACCTGAGTACATTACACCAACACAGCAAATATCATGATTATTAGATTACATTGATATCGAAGGAACTAGACTCAGTTCCGAAATATCAAATACTCGAACTGACCTGACCGTGTAGCTCGCTTGGCAGAGCATTGGGCTAGTATTCCAAAGGTCGTAGGTTCGAATCCCAACGTGGCCGGGCATATTTTTCAAGCTCGCCCGGTGTGGATATACACTCAGAGTAACATCACAAGCATCTTATTCACCTGAGTACATTACACCAGCACAGCAAATATCATCATTTACATTGATATCGAAGGAACTAGACTCAGTTCCGAAATATCACATACTCGAACCGACCTGACCATGTAGCTCGGTCGGCAGAGCATTGGGCTAGTATTCCAAAAGTTGTACGTTTGATTCCCGCCGTGGCCAGGCATATTTTTCAAGCCTGCCTGTTGTGGTTATACACTCAGAGTAACATCACAAGCATCTTATTCACCTGAGTACATTACACCAAACCCAGCAAATATCATGATTATTAGATTACATTGATATTGAAGGAACTAGACTCAGTTCCGAAATATTACATACTCGAACCAAGCTGACCGCATAGCTCAGTTGGCAGAGCATTGCGCTAGTATTCCAAAGGTCGTAGGTTCGATTCCCACCATGGCCAGGCATATTTTTCAAGCCTGCCCGGTGTGGATATACACTCAGTAACATCACACCAACACAGCAAATATCATGATTATTAGATTACATTGATGGAACTAGACTCAGTTCTGAAACATCACATACTCGAACCAAGCTGACCGCATAGCTCAGTTGGCAGAGCATTGCGCTAGTATTCCAAAGGTCGTAGGTTCGATTCCCACCATGGCCAGGTATATTTTTCAAGCCTGCCCGGTGTGGATATACACTCAGTAACATCACAAGCATCTTATTCACCTGAGTACATTACACCAACACAGCAAATATCATGATTATTAGATTACATTGATATTGAAGGAACTAGACTCAGTTCCGAAATATCACATACTCGAACTGACCTGACCACGTAGCTCGGTTGGCAGAGCATTGGGCTAGTATTCCAAAAGTTGTACATTTGATTCCCGCCGTGGCCAGGCATATTTTTCAAGCCTGCCCGGTGTGGTTATACACTCAGAGTAACATCACAAGCATCTTATTCACCTGAGTACATTACACCAACACAGCAAATATCGTGATTATTAGATTACATTGATATCAAAGGAACTAGACTCAGTCCCGAAATATCACATACTCGAACCGACCTGACCCCGTAGCTCGGTTGGCAAAGCATTGGGCTAGTATTCAAAAGGTTGTAGGTTCGATTCCCATCGTGGTCAGGCATATTTTTCAAGCCTGCCCAGTGTGGATATACACTCAGAGTAACATCACAAGCATCTTATTCACCTGAGTACATTACACCAACACAGCAAATATCATCTATATGAGTGGTATATTTGATATCATTTAGAAACACCTACCGGATGTCCACTGCTATGCAGAAGACTCCCAACTGTATTTAGCATTTAATCCAAACTGCGAAACCAGCCAGGACGAGGCCGTCAAAGCAATGGAAAGATGCTTGTTGGACATCAAGATATGGGCTAAATCAAATTACCTCAAGTTGAACAATGACAAGACGGAGTTTATTATAATGGGAACCTGACAACAACTTGCAAAGATTCGTTTCAACAGCATATGTGTTTGATTCTGTGATATAACTGCTTCTTCATGTGGTGCAGCCTTCTTCCATCTTCACAACATACAACGAATACAGAAACACTTATCTCAAGATACCGCAGAAACTCTTGTCCACGCATTTGTGACCAACAAAGTTGATTATTGTAATAGTCTATTATATGGACTTCCAGTAAGCCAACTGGGCAAAGTTCAAAGAGTTCAGAACGCTGCAGCAAGACTTATTTCCAGGGAATCAAAATATTGTCATATAACGTCATTGCTGAAAGAACTACATTGGTTACCAATTAGTTATAGAATCCATTTCAAAATACTCTTCATTACTTTCAAAGTACTTCATGGTATGGCACCTAGCTATCTGTCAAGTCTGGTATCCATCAGGTCCTCCTCAAGCTACAGTCTCAGGTCGAATGCTGCTGTGGTACTGATCACTCCTCGGGTACGATCACATGCAACATTGGGCGACAGATCACTTGCTAGGGCCACACCAAAGTTGTGGTATGGCTTGCCCTGCGATATCAAGAACGCAAACAGTTTAGAGAAATTCAAGAGACTTTTGAAAACTCACTTTTTTTCATTTAGCTTTTTCATAGAACTTTTTATACTTTATATTTGACTATTAGAAATATTTTACAAGAACATTAGAAGTATTGAAATATTTTTAGAATTTTAGATGGATTGAACAGTTAGGAAACATTCATATTGGGATTTCTTTATTATTAATGTAAAACGCATTTGATCATTTAGTCATGGAAAATGCGTTATATAAGTTTTTAATTACAATTACAATTAATTTCATACATTTACAAGATTCAATTAAGATGATATTTTATCAAGTATCGGTGGATTCCACAGCTAAAAAATCACACAATACCTTCTTGTCTGACATCAATACCTTCTTCACTATAATCTTAGAAAGAAATGACGTGTGTAATTCTTGGGGAAAAAATGGTGAGTGTAATTCTTGGAAAAAATGTCGCATGTAATTATTGCATTAAAAAACCGTCGTGTGTAATTTTCGGTGAAAAAACAGCAAGTGTAATTTTGATGGAAAAAACGATGAGTGTAATGGTAAAGAAACGGTGAGTGTTTTCAGTCATGGCCCTTCTCGGCCATCGTACAAAAGTAATTTTGAAAGATAATATGGCAAAGTGTCAGAAATAGAGAAATGCTATGTGAAGGAAATTTTGGATTTACCGAACATTCCAGGAGGCAACCCCTGTAGGATTGCTAACTTTTGTGATAAACTTACGCATTCAGTTCAAGCACTTGAGATGATGGTCAAACTTAGTAATGTTAATTAGTGAGGCGGATATGTGTAAAATTATTGATCAGTAGTTCCCGTTGAGGTTAAAAGGATCAAACTTTTACAATTAATAGATATTTGAAGTGGGGCCATCGCTGTTTTGCTGCTAACTCCTGAAAACGGATGATTAGTGATTTTCCTCTATTGAATTCTATCATAGCCAAAAAATGTGAAATTTTGTATCCAATTACAACAAATATGACTTGCATCATCAGAAAGCTTATAAAAAACTGCATATAAGACGTTTAGACAGTTTTTTGATTTCTGAAATAGTTTTCGAATTATAAACTGTTAAAAACGCATTTTCAAACATCGAATAATTAATTAGGGGCTTTTAGTGAGATAATGTGCCTAATTTACAGCAATAACAATTGGAAGAATAAAAAAACTGTTCAAAAGTCTTTTATATAGTTTTTTACACGCTTTCTGATGATGCAAGTTATATTTGTCGCGATTGAATTCAAAATTTCACATTTTTTGTTGTAGTAGAATACCGTATTTACTCGTTTGAGCACCGCGGCGCTCTTTAAATTTTCAGAGCTTCAGATGTGGCGCTCATTCGGGGGCGGCGCTCATTCGGGGGCGGCGCTCATTCGGGGGCGGCGCTCTTTAAAAAACTTTTATTTGTGAATTATAACAAGAACTTTTAACAATAAAATAAACAAGTTTTAAAAGGTTTTTGTCACTAAATGTTCCCATTTTGACGGTGGAAAGTTTCTACACTGTTTAGTGCGGCGCTCATTCGGGGGCGGCGCTCTTTAAAAAAATTTGATCTCAAATGCGGCGCTCATTCGGTGGCGGCGCTCAATCGGGGGCGGCGCTCAATCGGGGGCGGCGCTCAAACGAGTAAATACGGTATCTATATTGTTTAAATTGCATTCGACGCGACATAAATTTGACGTATAAAACGGGCCTAAAGGCTGATTTCCACTGTTGCGTTTTTCGTACGCACGTACACGCACGTAAATCTTTGAATCCTTCTATTTTTTAAATATTTTACAAATAAGTTAACAAATGCATACTAAAACTTGCGGAACACTAAGTTCTGTTGCTTTATTTATTTGGTTATTTCATAAGTAACATTTAAACGGATTTAAAGTTTTACGTGCGTATGCGTACGTATGAAAAACGCAACAGTGGAAATGAGATCTACGACGCGCTTTCGAAACAACGAAATTTGTCATGCAATCCAAAAACTGTGAATAATTTGTGGTCCCAGGGGTATTTTCAACGGTTTTGTCATTCTCAGCAGAACGTTAAACTAATCATTATCACATCTTTCAAGCAACGTGCTGCCTCGTACCCAAGCGTCTCTTTACAAAAAAACAGCGATGCGCGTATGACGAGTTTACATGAAGTATTGTAGTTCCTTCCCAACAGCCTCTTCGCGCGTCTCCCGCCTTAATATATTTCATGTATTATATTTAAAGCACCTGGGTCACAATAAGCTTTCACAGTGCTCTGCCTCGTACCCAAGAGGTGTGTCGAAATTACAGAAAACATTGCAGTATCGCTTTAGCAGAACTTAGCAGTTCGTAAGGTTATTTGAAAAAGCTTCACACATTTATTTGAGTAATCAAATTGCTTAGCGCTCATTCTTGAGCTGAATCTATTAGTTAAAATCCAATGTCGCAATTACGAAAACGAGGCTCTATAGCCAAGATGACGTACTTTCCGGAAGGGTGTATTGAGAACATTTGAATTTTTTCATTGCCGAAACAAAAATTCCTTTCCTATCAATGTCAGAAACATGTATTAATTGTTGTATGTCATGAAACCTACTATTAAATCAGTGCATGAAACATGTATGTCAGAAACATGTATTGTTGATAGGAAACACAATTTGTTTCCTGTCAATGTCAGAAACATTAAATGTTTGAAAACAAAGTTTCCTTAGTTAGTTAACAGCCCAATATTTCCACGACGTTTCTAAAACATTGATTGAATTAAGTATTTTAGAATTAAGTATTTTAAGTTAGTAATTAAGTATTTTATTAAGAATTTTACCCAGAAAAATGCAATAGTTGTGTTCCGGATTATTGCACAGCTAATTATTAGTGCATGGGAATCGTAAATTATATCTATAAGAGATGAATTTTGACAATAAGATTATTAAAATCGGTCTGGTAGAACCAATGTTATGGTTGTCTATTACCAAGTCTGGTAGATGCATGCCAATCCACGGTGAATTTTAGAAAGTTTAAAAAAGCCATGAATAGCCGGCCCAAGTTGCGTGTTAAGTATCAATAGGTTTGATGTCCCCTTGCTTTAAATAGCTATGATATTGGCCATCTACTAGTTTTAATTTAAGAGCTATTTTAACAATTTTAGGGTCAAAACGTATCTCTCAGAATGAATTTTCGATGCTTACTAATAATTACTAATAATTAACTGTATAAAAATCTGCAATACAGCTATTGCCTTTTTTAGGACGCCCTGCAGTTGCTAGGGTAAAGACAGATATTTTTACATTTAATAAAACTAGCTACTTAATATTTACAATGGATTACATTGTCCGCATCAATTTCAAGCTGCTGTTTGGTGGGCACTCAAGCAATTATAGGGAAGTGATAAGATGGACTTCAATGATCTGGTTTTTTGCACTTCACTTGGTGGTATTAATATTTGAATGCTGTTCTTAGGGTTTGTAATCCAAGTGAGTATATATATACTTTTTAAGACCTGACCAGGAACGACTGCGAAAAATGCAGCACAAGGTCCTCTGGTAGGAATTGAACCTACGGCACTGCGATTCCGGTGCAGCGCTCTAACCAACTGAGCTACAGAGGCCAGCTGTTGAGCTGTAACCGTAAGTTCATGTATATATAGTAAAAAAACAGATAATCGAAGTCCATCTTATCACAACCCGCACACCCGATCACCTATATATACATGAACTTACGGTTACAGCTCAACAGCTGGCCTCTGTAGCTCAGTTGGTTAGAGCGCTGCACCGGAATCGCAGGGCCGTAGGTTCAATTCCTACCAGAGGACCTTGTGCTGCATTTTTCGCAGTCGTTCCTGGTCAGGTCTTAAAATGTATATATATACTCACTTGGATTACCACCCCTAAGAACAGCATTCAATTAGGGAAGTGCCTATTACTGCAACCTGAAAAAATTCTGTGACCCAGTATTTTTCATAAATACAGTACATAGTTTCTCTAATATATATTGAATTATTTGAATGCTTTTACAGTCAATTTCAGCTGACTTTTCATCGTAAGATTCCGAACTTCGTTCCGAACTTCGCAAATTTGTTGCCAAGTTCAAAAGTTCATAATGAAATTCACAAACAGGAGTTTGTAAACAAAGCCTCTGATTGGCTATTAAATCAAACCAGCAAATCAAATGCCCAGTTTACAAACCTGTTTGTGAATTTCATTATGAACTTTTGAACTTGGCAACGAATTTGCGAAGTTCGGAACGAAGTTCGGAATCTTACGATGAAAAGTCAGCTGAAATTGATTGTAAAAAGTTCTAGAACTGAGAAACCAATGATCACTTAATTTTGGAGGATTTTGACTGTACAGCCTTTTAACAGCCACTGTGCAAACATTTCAATGCACTAAAATAAACGAAAAGCTGCATAGTTTTTGTTCAAAATGGGTTACAATTTTATAAAAATGAGTTTAAATATTTTCTTATTAGTTACTAGTGTATGTAAATATAAAATTTTGCGCATTTCAATTTTTCATGCAAAATTTAATTTCCTCTATTAGGAATTAGATTATTCTGAATTCAAGATGTTTGCTATGGCATGCATTGACAGACGAACAGAGATGGAAGCACGAAATTCATCCGCTATTTCTGGACCAACTTGCACAATATTGTAGAGTGCAATTGTTTGACGATATTCATTATATTATATACTTTACCTAGATTAGTGGATACGCTACATGTAATCTTGGCTATACCAATTAACACTTACATATAAATCAACTTCACATTCACTGCAAAACATTTTGATTGAAAAAACTTGAGTAAAAGAATGCACGCACATACACAACCTCTTCCCCAGGCTCTCACCTCTTGTGGGGGAAAGACCCTGGTAGGAGCTGGTCACGTGATCTGTTAAAATCTAGCAGATATCTGATTAACTACCTTGGATTCCTTTAAAATCAAATCAAATCAAACTTGCAAAACAAAATGCAAGTTATAAATTAAAGTATAAATGTCAAACGTTTATCAACGTCATCATCATCATCAATAACCTGAGTACCAGGCCCTTATGTTTTCATTCGCCAGGCGAATGAAGGAGGGCCTGGTACAATTCTTTACCGCGGCGCATGTAAAAAAACAGATTCTGGCTTTTTCGTCTGATTGGCCGATTAGACAAACGATTTTTTAAATCTGTCATTTGATTGGCTGGTGCTAATTAGATTATACTATTGTTGTTGATATATTTTATAACGATCACAACTACAATTATAGCCGGCCCACTAAACGGCTGAATTTAAATTAAAACTGCAGTAAAATTAGCAAATAATCGCAAATTAGCGAAATATATTGCAAATGTAGCTTATATTAAATCGCCATCAGATTGCACTATCGACTAACTGACGTATAGTTATAAAGTATACTTAATATATATATATATATATATATATATATATATATATATATATATATATATATATATATATATATATATATATATATATATATATATATATATATATATATATATATATATATTTTATAATTATACGTCAGTTTGTTGATAAATACGGTAAGCGCCATGTAAAGCTCATTGTAGTCACTGAAACCTCTGCGGAGGAGAGAGCAATCAGGTGGCGATTTAATATAAGCTACCTTTGCAATATATTTCGCTAATTTGTGATTATTTTTGTTAATTTTATAAGTTCATTGCAGTTTTAATTTAAATTCAGCCGTTTAGTGGGCTGCCTATGCTATAATTAGATTGTTGTTGTCGTTGTGTGAAATTTAAATTTCTCCTGCGACATTTTGATTGGATACTAAATATAAACTTTGCTGTGGGTGGAAAGCGATCAGGTTAAGTTTTGTGTCAGGCTCTATTTGTAAAATAGAGCCTGATACTCAGGTTACATCATCAATTAAAAATCTACTAGATTTTAGCAGATCACGTGACCAGCCCCTACCAGGGTTTTTCCTCCACAAGAAGGCAAGAGCCTGGGAACAAGGTTGCCACATGCAGTGACTGACTATACTGAGGAAAATTAATCGAATTTATAAGCAAATTTACTCACTTTTTAAAATTGCGAGTCCCTGTGGGTGTATTATTTCACTCAAGTTTTTGAGTCAAAATTTTGAATGGGATCATCTCGCACTTGCCCGACTGTTTATTGAAAGACTGTTCTTGTGTATGTACTGTAGATGCATAAAAAACCATTCAAGCAGTTATCCAATTATTCAAAAATGTTTCATGAGAAGTGGTTTCTATTCCACAAATTTTCCATAATGTACAATACTTTCCTCTTTACCTCATGGTTTGATGTAACTGTCCTGACTGATACTTTTCTCGGTACATTCCTATCGACCTTTGAAACAAGCATTATCGATTCCTGTGGAAGGGACAACTTCAATTCCCGTCCTCAGTCTTTTTAATGGTACAAACATGCATTCAAAGTGCATTTCACAAAGACATATGCATGTACATGTACGGGAAGACAAAGGGAGGGTTTGAGAATATTAAACTATATGTTGTTACCGGTTTTTTCATTCATTAGAATATTGTGTTGTCGCCCTTTCTACTTGTTCCATAGTCTTTTGTAGGTTTGTATCAAATAATTCACATCTAAATTAGAGAATACATAACTTTTCAGTAACAAGTGGAAGTATATAATTATAGAAGTACATTATTCACCTGGCTTTGTATGTGTGTGTGTTAGTCTTTCAGCAGGATAGCTCAAAAATACAAAAATGTGTGGGGCTAATGCACCCGTCTTGGTTTAGGCCGGCGAACGGCGAATTTCGCCAGCGCTAAGAAGACATGTGACAGCCATTCGCCAGAGGCTGTGTGTAATTCGCCGGTACTTGCAGTCATGACAAGCTGAAATTTTTAGCCCAGTCTTGCACTCAGATAATATACCAAATACATAAAGCTTCCCTTTGCCCACCACTCAACTCACAGCGGCCTTGAAGCTTCGACCTCCCATTCTTTGCATACTCGCTACGCTCATCAATTAATAGCCGGAGCATCAGTAGAGCAAAACAGTATTGGCCATACCCAAATTATTACTAGCCAGGACTTTAAACGGATACCTGAAGGGCTGTAATGGCCATAAGATGAGAAATGAACAAACGTTTGTCTTGCTTTCCAGGACAGAGAAACCTGAATGCATACTATGTCTTAGTCCACTGTATTATTTATGCATGATACTTGAGTGACGTAACTTGAATTGGGCGTTTCGATTCTCTAATTACTAGTGATTACACTTCTGATTTCGCATGGAAACATTATTATTGAACCGTATCCATTACCTAATTGGCATTTCCAAGGAGTAAAACGGGTTCTTTAATGCATAATCTGTATAAAGTTCATGGAAGCGTTTCAGGAAATTATCCATTGGACCTTGTTTAGGATCTGTTAAAACTAGAAATTTCACACCTGAAAGATAAAATATTATGATGTTATACTATTCATAGACACCGCCAAAAATCACAACTTGAGCATTGGTGTGTAAAATCATCACATCCTTAACTTCAATGTTTCGTTCGTACTAACTAGAGTAAGCCAGAAATTGTGATTGTAACTGTTATATTTTAAACTTCATAGCAAACGATGAATATAATTTAAAATATTTTACATTAGTTTTACGGGAAAAAATGTAGTAAAAAAGATAAAGCATTTAAAAAAAACATTTAATTAATAACAAAAGGTGTGTTTTGAACAATTCCATTTTCAACTCCTTTTGTAAAGGAAATGCCAGAAGTTGAAACATACACATGTCTGGATGGGAAGTGAGAGTACACTATTGAGGGTAGAAGTGAATGAATCATAATGATCAATGGTTTATTAATCGTGTGATAGTAGTAATCCCCCCC